GATGAGCGCATGGAAGACCTAACTGAGCATTCTCAAAACAACAACTGCCACGACGGCTGGCATTAAGCATGCCAACCATACATTCCTGACAAATATATATGTTCTGTGGTGCTTTGCAGCCAGCGCTTCATTTTCGAAATCAGACTCATCCTCATCCGATGAAGTACCAGCGTATTACAACAGCAGAGGGAGCTGTTGAAGGCGTCTGGCGGCGTCCGGTAGCCCCTGAAATAGCGGGGGCATTTTTTGGACCCGGAAAACGTCCTAGGTCCCCCCCAAAAAACAATCGAATTTTTCAAAATTGGACCCAATCCTGACCTGCCAGACCAGACACTGGACCCATACCCAAACAACCGGACCGTCTGCATTCTGGTCCAGACGTCCGGCCGGTTGCCATGGTATTTAGTATTCACTAGTTTTACACCTTTTCTGGTCAAAATAGCACCTCCCACAGAGTGACAGACAGGCTAATAATGACATTAGAATTACTTGACGAAAGTGCCCTCTCAAAGATAATGTCATATAATTGGAGGAGTTACTCACCGCTGACAAAGGGTCATCTAATAGATACAGATCGGCATCATGGTATGCAGCTCGAGCGAGTCCCAAACGTGCCTTCTGACCGCCGCTGCTCACATTTTTCAAACACAACACATCGGCAGGAGAAAATACCCACGTGTGTTAGACAACTCTTTCCACTGTTGTCCTTCAGGACATCCGTTAAAATTGGAACAATACACAGAAGATTAGCATGGCCGCTGCACAAGGATGACACGCACAAATCGAGAAATGGTCCAAAAAAAAAACAAAAACTCTTTCCACTCAAAAAAAAAAAAAAAAAAAAAAAAAAAAGGCACCAGGGGCAAAGCCCCACTTGGACAGCGCCTCCTGATCAAGTTCACCATGATCACTTCCTGACCCACTTCAGCACTAGCAGTTCCCTTAATCATTTTTAAATGTTTAGATTTTTTTTTGTAATTTTTACGTTTTTTACCTTACAGTTTTTCAGCATGAAATTTACCTTAAATTTTGGCCTCTCTCACCAAGGAGGGTTTCATCTCCGTCCGGGAAAATCTCAATATCCTGCTGCAGAGCACAAGCGTGAATCACCTGCAATCACAAAGTATCCCCAGTTTTTCGAAACTTTGAGACGAGTCCATGAGTTCACTCCATATTTTGACAGATCAGTAAAGCAAATGAGGGCATGATTATTCACAAGAGAAAATACATTGCATTTTAGAAATTCAAATGCACATTTCGCACTTCACAAACAAGGAGTCCCCTGAAAAGTTGTGAAAAGTTGAAAACCCTTGCAGTGGAAGTCTGAAACCAAAACTCCGTTAGTGCCAACAAAGTCGTGCCATAGAGGATGCGCGAGCTGGTCAGTGCTGTTGTTGGCCATTGACAGATAATTTGCTGTTCTTGGAAAGACCTACGATGTGTGGACATCATATCCCCTGAAGTTCAAGAATCAATGGGTCTCTACAAAGGTCCCTTCATAAGACCTTAGTATGACCTGTGGACATCATACTCCCTGAAGATCAAGAATCAATTGGTAATGTAAGTCAATTTTGGGGGGATGGTCCATGTAAAAAAGTGCAGAGTATAGGGCAATACGTGGTGTTATCAGGTACCACCTAGGTACAAGATCCGAACCCCCCGGCCTTCCTTGGGCAGTCAATGCTGGCAGGAGGTGTTAGGAAATGGGTGTTGAGGAAGGGGTGTTTCTTCCCCTTTTCTTTAAGAGAATCAGTGCTAGAGGATACAGTAGGATATGGCGCCCAAGGAAGGGTGAGGATGTGCTGGTTCAGTCATTCTTGCTCTTTTCATTATCTGGTTTTTCAAAGTTTTGTCGTATGTGAGGGATGCTGGACCCGTTTTCCAGCAGGTGCAGCTCCCTACCAATAGATGGAGTTTATCGGATTTTGAAAAAAAAAAAGAAAAAAAAAAGAAAAAAAAAAAGAGAGGTCTCTAGACTCTCTACAAAGGTCTCTTCATGGGTCTTTCAGCGCTCCAACCAACAGTAAGTAACAAGTATGCCCTTGTTGAGCTATCAGTTCATGGCAACTTCATGCAAAACTGACCTTTTTGTACTTTTGCTCATCCCATGGCGCCCAGAGAACAATATTTGACCTCAAGGTTCCTGAAACAATGAATGGCTGAACACACCACAATGAAATGAACTTTAATAAAGTTTCATACACCAACACAGGACCAAACAAGGTAAGAGGCATAAGGAATTCGTAAAAGAGAAATCAAAACAGACAGGAAGAAAATGCTTCAGATGAGCAGATAAAGAATTCAAATAGAGTGTCTTGAACTGTCTTCTGAATCTTTTTTGTTTTTTCTTGTTTTTTAGTTTTTTTTCTTAACATCCGCCGATGATGCTACCAGGGTTTGTACGAGCATCGTACCTGGTAGGATGGCTCTCTGTCTATTGGTGGGGAGCGTCACCTGCTGGAAACCGGGTCCAGCGTCCCAATACAGGAAAGGTACATAAGAATGAGCAATATTGGGGCCATTACCTGGCTTCCTTCAGGACATCAAGTGAAATTGGAATGATACAGAGAAGATTAGCATGCCCCCTGCACAAGGATGACACACAAAATCTATAAATGGTCCAATTTTTTCAGGGAATGGGGAGGGCATCGTCTTTGTCACAATCACTACAATGACATGGTTTCTGCATCCACCTGTGTAAAGGACTGTCCCACTGTTCCTGACTGCAGGCACCCTCCACATCCGGACACTATATGTCCATTTTGCGGCCATGGGCATGGTGTTTTGTGGTGAGTGTTCTTCCTCCACTTTGGCCTGCAATCTACATGCCATTTGTCGGGAGTGTATGGTGGGCATGCTCAACGCCAGCCATCGTGGCAATTGTTGTGCTGAGAATGCTCAGGTAGGTCTTCAATGTGCCCATCCACCACATCCTTACAATGCGTGTCCTCTCTGTCGTCAAGGACAGACTGATTCTTGAGCCTTTTCTTATCCTTACTTTGTTTCTCTTCTCTTTATCTCTCTTCCCTGTGTTTATCACCTCCCCCTTTATTCTGCCTCTTTCTCACAGCGTACAAGTGGGCCGTTATGGCACACGGGGATGCGGGCAGCTCGCACTCAACTTCATCAACGTGGTGAGCCTTGTATGTGAGAGGCACGCTGAAGGGGGAGTTGAAAAGAATGAGAAAAATGAATGGTTTCAATGTGCCCATCATCTTTGTCTTGTTTTTCAATTTTTACCGTTTGTTTCGCAAAGTGTGCTCTTTTAGTTAATTGTTATGGGACAATATATAGAGAGAGAGAAAGGGATAGATAGATAGATAGATAGATAGATAGACAGATAGAGAGAGAGAGAGAGAGAGAGAGAGAGAGAGAGAGAGAGAGAGAGAGAGAGAGAGAGAGAGA